AGGAGCAGTCGGCGTTGAAGTCACCCAGGAGGAGGATGTTCTGTGGGGCAGTGTGTTGTGTGTCTGACCATGGACCTCACAGGGCACCAAGGGCTCCCTGAAATCCTACAGGGCAGCAGGAAACCCCCCTGGGGCTCCTCAGCATGAGGGGACAAGCCCCCAGTGATGGTAGCAGAGCCACTCCATGCGTGGACATTGCCGGGGTGGCACCTGCTCCAATGGGTGTGAGAGGTCTCCTGTAGGACACATCCCTCCCAGGATGGCTGCTGGGATGTGTGGTGGCCATACCCCAGCACACCCCAGTGCCCCAGGGAGGAGCTGAGCTCCCCGACGGCACTTACGTTAGTTGCCCACTTGTTGACGACGTCCATGTAGACATCGTAGAGCGCGTCGATCTCATCCGCCGCGCTGCGGGGCTCGGCGTGCAGGGGCACCAGCACAAACTCTTCCACCTCTGCTAGACAGGCGGCCATCAGCCCCCAGCTCGGGTGTGGCACCCGGGGAGGGAGCAGGAACCCCAGGGGACCACCCTGGGCTAAGCCCCAGCTGCTGGCTGGGAAAAGCTGCTGAAGAAAAAGGGTGGATTGGGTTTTTGTGGTCTGCCTGTCCTCCAGGCTGGAATTTCCAGCAGGGACCTGAGTGACTCTGCATGTGGTTTGGGGTTTGCTGCTTTTTTCCCCCATCATTTTTTTCATGGGAGTGGGAGAGAGATGAGAGAGTGTGTGTGCCCCGGGGGAGCTGCTGGGGAGGTGGAGGTGGTGGCATGGGGTAGGAGATGGCACAAAATGGGAAATGGAAGGTTATGGGACATGGCACATGATGGGAGATGGCACATGATGGGAGATGGCATGTGATGGGAGATGGTACGTGATGGGAGGTGGTACGTGATGGGAGGTGGTACGTGATGGGAGATGATATGTGATGGGAGGTGGCAGGCAATGGGAGATGGCATGTGATGGGAGATGGTACGTGATGGGAGGTGGTACGTGATGGGAGGTGGTACGTGATGGGAGGTGGTACGTGATGGGAGGTGGTACGTGATGGGAGATGATATGTGATGGGAGGTGGCAGGCAATGGGAGATGGCATGTGATGGGAGATGGCAGGCAATGGGAAACAGCATGCAACTGGAGGAAGCAGATGGTGGGATATGGCATGAGATGGGAGGTAGCAGGTGATGGGATGTGGGACACAATAGGAAAGAGCTGGAGACATGATATGGCAAGGAACTGTAGAGAGCCCACGATGGGAGATGGCACATGGTGGGAACAGCAGGCAGGGCCAGCCATGCTGGGCAGGTACCCAGGAACCCTCAGCACCCATGGGTGGGAGAAGGCCCCACAGCAGTGAAGGACCCCAGGGTGCAACCCCCCACCTGGCAGGCACAGCTCTACAATCAGCCCCATGCAGAGGGGACCCAACACCAGCCCCCAAGGCTGGCTCTGCTCACGGGTGGTGGGTGAGGAGAACTTCACAATGAAGGGCTCCCTGCTGAAGGTATCGGTCCCGCAGGGCTCACAGCCATCGTCGTAGTAGTAGCTTCCCAGCACAGAGACCAAGTCCGACCTGAGGAAGGAGAGCAGGGCAGCCCCTGGCACTGCTCCCACCACAGCCAGGGCTCCCAGAGATCCCACCACCCTTTGGGGGCTGCTGGGGGGGTGGACAGCAAGGGACACAGGGGACATCAGGCCCTGGCAGCATTCCTTACCTGTAGATGAAGACGTACTGCTCCTTGTAGCTGTTCCGACCCAGGGGGATGCTGTCCAAAAAGCTGTACGGGTGTGGGGACACCCTGGAAGTGAGATGTGGAGAGGGTGAGAAGAGGTTCCCAGTGCCCCATCACCCATCGGGCTCTCACCGGCTGAGCCAGCGGTGTCCCAGCACAGCAAGACAACGACCGGGGTCTGTCCTGGTGTCCCATTTGCAGGCACCCCCTGCCCTGAGCTGGCCCACCTGTTGAGCTGGTCCATGAGCTTCTTCACAGCGCTCAGGTCGGTGTCCCGGACCTCCTGCACCACGGTGATGTCATACCCCGACAAAATCTGGGGGGACAAGCTCAGAGCTGCTCACCCCTGGCCAAGAGCTACTGGTGAGGGCACCCATGGGTGCCTGGGCTGGGCTGTGAAGGCTCCCAGACTGGCAACAGGGGAACAGCAGGGACCCAAGAGCCCAGGGAGGGGGCTCCTTCTGCTGATGCCAGCGTCCTCTCTCCTGAAAGGACTCTGGAGTGACAGAGTGCCCTCTAACACCCATCTGCCTACCACCCACCATCCCAGCAGCTCCTCGCTCACAGACTGCTCTGAGTGAGGAACCTGGGCAGCACCAAGCATGACCCGTCCTCAGGTGGGAATCAGCAAGAGTGGAGATGGCCCGGAGTTGAAGATGGTGATGGGGGAAGAGTGGGTGGGTGGATGGATGGAGTCATGGACAGACGGAGGGAGGTGTGAATGGATGGAGTCACAGATGCATGGATGGAGGCATATATGAATGGAGACATTGATGGATGGATGGATGGATGGATGGATGGACAGATAGATGGGTGAAGGAATGGATGGATAGATGGATGGGTGGATGGATGGAGGCATAGGTGGATGGATGGGAAGTGTGGACAGGTGCATTGATGGGTAGGTGGATGCACAGATGGCCATATGGATGGCAGTGTCTGCCCCAAGCTGGCTGCATCCCAGAGACCAGAGCATCCAGGAGTCCTCCTCTCCCCCAGCACTCACAGAGACGATGATATCTGCAACAGTCTGGTTGGACATCTTCTTGTCTCCAAACACCCTGATGTTGAAGGCACTGATCTTCAGCGTGGTGGCCACTTGTAGCAGCAGACCTGCAACCAGCAGCAGCAGCACCAGCTTTGAGGCCGCCATCCTGCGTGCAGAGGGACAGGGACAGGCTCAGCCCCCCTCAGTGGGAGAGGAATTTGGCATAGGTGATGATGGTGACCATGCTATTCCCACTGGCTGTACTGGTTTGATGGAGAGGTGTCCATTTTCCAGTGAACCACCAAGACCCAGGAATGGTGCACCCCATCCAGCCCTCCAGCTCCAGCCTCGGGCTGCTGAGTCCTTATCTCTGCCTCAGGTGGGGCCTCATCCTGCCTGTCCCTCCTGGGACCTCCCACGAGCACAGAGTGGAAAATTCACTGGCAAAGGAGCAAATGCCATTTCATGGTGACGCAGAGCAGTCGCTTCCTCATTCACCACGCTCAGCCTGGACACCTCTCCTGGCCCGGGACGGGTGGCAGCGGCTGGGGACACCAATGTCCCTTGGCTTGTGTCTCTCCCACCCCTCT